CTGGGGTCCAGAGTTTAATTTGTTTGGTGACAAGGTCTTTGTCTGTAAGCTGGATACAGGAACAAAGAAATGTGGTCTGAGTGGCCAAGGTGGGGGCGGGGTGCGGCCCTGTATGCACCATGTATGTTACTGTAAACATGATCCAGATATTTCTTGCCCCGAGTGGGAATGTTCACATGTTGGTAATATTTGGGGAGTAAAGTCTTTAAATTGCACTGGTTAAAGTTGCCTGCAGCGATAAATATCGGGGTGCGCTGTTTCTAGCGCGTTGATGACATCATAGAGTTTGCTGAGAGCCACAGAGGGATTAGCTCTTGGGCTAACATACACAGCAGCCAGAAACACAGCACTATGCTCTCTTGCTAGATAATAGGGCCGGCATTTCAGCAATAAAAACTCTGTCTGGCGAACAGTGCTTATAAACAGTCCGTACATCTTCACACTATGAGTTATTAATGAACAAACACACACCACCTCCCTTTACCTTCCCTGAAGCAGCAGTGCGATCGCTTTGATGTAGAGTCTGTTTTTGTAGCTGAATCGCTGAGTCTGGGACTCTGTCAGAAAGCCAAGTCTTGTTGAGAACTAGAGCACAGCATTCTTTGATTTCCCATTGTGCTGTAATCCTAGCCCTTAGCTTGTCCAGTTTGTTTTCCAGAGACTGTACATTAAGTAGGAAGAGGCTAGGTAATGGTAGTCGGGTAGCGCGAGCTTTTAGCCTAGCATGGAGTCCTCCTCGCCTGCCCCGTTTGCGTCTCCGTCTCCGGGTTGCTCTCCTGATTTCAGCTTGCTCGCTTGTGCCTGGTGCTCCGGGGGCTCCCCGAGGGCGATGGTGGATTTCCTCGCCATTGTTGTTGTTGTCGCTGGAGTGGACAATGGGTTGTAGCTCCAGTGGTATTGAAAGATACAGGCCAGTCCTTTCAACCAGGAACTCTGAGAGACGACGCAGACCACTTGGATATATAAAAAATATAACCGTGCTGGTTTATTCAAAGGATCACAGGCAAAATTAACATCACACGTCCAGGCATCTTCCACCTCCAGTACTGCGCTCAGGCAGCCCGGAAGATGAAAAAGCCCCGAACCTAATAGCCTATACAATTTAATCACTTGGTTGGGCTAGCCCCATCCTACACAGGCAACGTCAAACCGTGACGTCACCTGATATGCCAGCTTGGCAGCTGACCAGAGCAGTAGTCAAAACATGGAGAAAATTAAAGTGTGTGGCTGTTGATTAGTGGTGTGTATCTAAAAACATACAGGACATTCAGGGACATGTCCGAACAGTAAGCCTCGGAAGATATTATGATTAAGATTACGGCTGAACATATCATGCTACTAACAATATTCATCCTGCCGGCAGACTCTGCAATTTAGTTGACCTTGCCTAGATGCAGCCTGCAGAACTCATGACAATGAACTGAGCATTTAACAGCCTGAGC